TGGAAGATAACAGCTACTAAAAAAGCTTAATACTGCCACTCCCTAGATCGGTGCCGCCAGTCTCTCTATTTCACTCTCAAAAACTTCGACAATCAGAGAGATCGCGAAGTCCGACGAGTGACCGCAACCGTAACACGTGACTGGTTGGCGCGCGATGTCACGTGTCATCGATTTGAATTCGACGTGCCCTTTTTGTCGTTTTTCCGCGCACTCCACGGCGACAAATGGACGGAACCTTGTCTGTTGTACGGAGCGTCTGTGCTGTATACAGGTAGAGTATGGCAGGTAGTCCAACTTGGCGGCGGCGAATTTGGCGGCACAGTGGGGTTTACCTCCCTTGCCATGCGCTGGCTCGCCGCGAGAGCGAGCGAGACGAGGATGCGTGTGTTTTTGGATAGCCGCCCAAGGGTGGCCGTGGTATGTGGGACTAATGTGCACTGGCAGTGCGAGGCATTATAACCTTCACGTTGACGCTGGAACGCGTGTGTACACAGAAGAGACTGATCGTGAGTGTAGACGCGCGCTTCAGTATCAAAGTGGATTACGGTAATGGTCACTCATCGGACTGTAAAACCGGCTTGTATAGGGTTACACTTAGAGAATTTCGGTTTTCCATTCTAGATGTCGATTTTTTAATGTGTGGGTGTCTCTTCTGGGAAATTTGTGGTTCAGGTTTGTTCCGAACTCTGCGTATCTCTCTACATGACACTTTTCAACAAGTACAAACTGCAGTTTTCGCCATAACAGCGGCACCCTTTGCAGAGAGATTGGCATTGGACTCTGCAGGAGCAGTATCACCCTTTCAGTGTTCAACAGAAAAGAAGATGAAATGCGGCGATATCGTTCGGTTGTTTGACAAACAATGTTGAGTGAGTGTAGTCCAAGTTTTTCTTGCATGAAAATCCTGATAGAGTATCACCCGCTGCTGGTATAAAAGCGAGTGTTTGAAGTGTGGTTGCAACACACACCGAACTCCAATGAGCGTGAAGACAGCGTTGGTGCTCCCGGCTCAAGAAGATGACAGCTTGTGTGGACCAGGAGGGGCTCCTGAACCTATGGATGGTATAAAGCAAGCCCACGTAAGTGCTTCTAAAGACAAGGATCGATGTGCATGATACACGGTGGTTCGTTCAGGACGACATGGTCGCTTGGTGCTATAAACCACACGGGAAAGCTACCGACGAACAACTCAAGAAACTCGATGATGCACAAGTGAAGAGAGAATACGTGGGTAGTCTTTCCCAGATGACGTTGCCCCTCCATCGAGCAAACTGTTCCAGGTCGCCTATGGGTTGATAGGTCTGACTTGTCTTTACTTGATCAATGGAGAACAAGCGTTTTTCGTATCTGTTTTCATTACACTCACCTACCCAGCATACGTTAGCATACAGGTTGGTATTTTTTTGGGTCTGCATGAAAAGCCCAATCCGCAATATTGGAGTTGAGCTCACAGCTCAGGGACTCAAATATGATGCTGGGCGCTACCACAGGATACGGGGCGCTGCGGCGGCAACATGGAAACCGCGATTCAAACATTTCTTTTGGTATAAACGGGCTAGCCTAAGCCTTAATCAGAATAAGAGACTCCTGGGTGCTTAAGCAATTCTCATATTCTCCAAAGTTTTTGCCCCACATTAGATTAGTGCTATGCTATACCCGGCATATCGGACGGCGCCGCGAACTATAACAGCTGATTTTTGCTGTGAGGGAAGCCAAAAGGAACCCCCAAAGCACTGGTTTCTTCTTTTGCAGCCGATTGTAAACCGTGCGAAAGGGAGACACCAGACACCTGTCCCTGAAAAAGAGATCAAGCAGGGAATAGGAAAATGAACATTCAGATAAGCGAGATGCAAAGCGCTCAAGCAGAGCAAATTTTTTGAGTAGGTTCGAGCCCAATGAGGTCTCCACGTCGCTGAATAGTTGACTAAGCAATTTTGCACTCACTTACAAAAAAATGGCGAAGTCAAAAGAAAGATAAACTTCCGCCCGTGCGGAATACTCCATCTTCCTCACAGAGGAGATTGCCATCAAGCTTGTGTCTTTCCTAATGAATTACTTGTCAGATTGCAGCAGTCGAATAACGTGCCCTTCTATGTCTGCGCCTGCCCTGTTTCGCGACTTTTTTGGCTCTCACGCTAGTGTGCAAAACTTATGGACGAAAGTAGCTTTTGCATGACGCTACACTCACATAAGAACATTACACCTTACTGATGTAAATGTATTTCGCTAGAGATTTTTGAAGATTATAGAGGCGCTATCGTAAGATGCGGGGCATCCTCAGAACTAAACATAGGAGGGACAAGAACATTTCTCTTTCCACCTGCCTATTGATCAGGCACAACCGTTTCAACAAAAAGTAGATGTTTTACGAGGTTTTAAATACCACTGTCACCACACTGAAACAAAAAGAAGTTTCATAGTAGAGGGCATCGTCGCACTCATGATATGACGGTAGATTTTTCGCTTCCCTTCCTCATCCTCCCTTCCTCTCTCCACTGCCCTCCAGCTGCCACTGCAGCACCATGTGGAATGAACGGAAGTGTGCTAAGCAGGTGTTTATATAGCCCTAAGAGTGTTATCACAACTATCCTGCTACAAAACATTGATATCTCAAATCCTGTAAGCTACCCGATTTGTTAGCGGTTTGTTTATCCCATGAGCTTCCTTCTCACTCACTTCATTTTGCGGACGGACGGACGGACATACAGTCGAGATCCGTAAGTTGGGGTAGGCGTGTCACCGGAAGTGACGTGCACTTGATAGAAGTTGCGTAGATAAGCTGTTGCCAGCATGCTTTGCTGATATCCAGCGATGTATGTTGGAAGCAGCTTATCCACATAGCTTCTATCAAGTGCACGTCACTTCCGGTGACACGCCTACCCCAACTTACGGATCTCGAGTATACACATACCACATACATACATACATACACACACATACATACAAACCGACACACCAAGTTAGCGGTTTATATAAAAGAAGGATTTCTTCCAATTGAATGATTCTTCAGACTGTCCGCGGTAAAAAATCTGGTGATGCTCTCAATCTCCTCCTATACTGGATACCATTTGGCTTCTTCGCCCTCATCGACGCCACCTCAATTAGTGACATCCCAACGTACTTCCTACTTAAAGTATGATTTTTCTCGATCATGGGTTTGAGAAAGAGACAATTCCTAACATGTATAGATTTCAGACGGCATTCCTACTGTTTCTCTTCCTGCCGCAAACAAAGGGAGCAGTTCTGATCTTTCAAAAAGTCATTGAACCAGCGACAAAAGCATTTGAAGCAGCATTAGTTAAGATTAACAACAGCATTTGAATACCAGTCATTGTTTTCACAGTTTGGGATGAAAATGTTGCCGAGTTTTTTTTTCTTCAATCCTATCACTATAGCGAAGTGACAAACACTTCAAAAAACATGGAAAAATTAGCTGGAGCGAATAAAAGAAGAAGGAATGGCCCAAAGGCAAAGAATGGGGTAACAGAGTAAAGGTTGGAGCAAAAAGGTGGTGTAAGAAAAGATGAGATCAGAGATGAATCAGTTAGACACATGCATTGCTATACGATGCACATGTTACGATGCATAGGGTGGCTACAAATTACGACAACAAGATAAAATGATGACAGGAAATCTATGCAGCATGTGAATAAGAATCGGAAAATACAGCTATATTAACTGAAGGTTCAAAAACAGAAGAAGGCTTTATTCACAAATTTGCTGACGCTGAAATTGGCAAAGGGCCGAGGTCTGGGCAACCCATGCACTGCGACAGTGGTAAACAGCGAACTCATCTCAGACAGGTATTTAGGGGCTGGGCTTTTCTACGCTAGTGGGTCTACCCCTTGGAAAGTTTCTTGATGCTGTAGAACCTACAGTCGAAATTGTCTCAGATTGTTTTTGAACATGCATGCGGCGGCTCCTGTCGCCGTAATTTGGGATCACCCTGTATACATAGCTCTAACGAAAACGACTGTGTCCACATTGACTACGGAATTATTCACACTTCGCTAAATTCAAACCAAATAATCCCAAGAGAAAACTGAGGAGCACCTCTTATGTAAAAACTTAGTAGTAACCTTCCAAACGAACGACATCAAAAGAATCTGCTACAGGAACATAGGGCTCGATTCGAGCTGAACGATTTCCTTGACGGATCGTGGGCGATCACGATGTTATTTGAAAAGCTGGTCGGAAGGGTCTTGCATATTCAGGGTTACAGCTCTAGAAAACTGTCCATCAGTAATTCGATGGAGCCTCCCTGAGCTCGACGGTGATGGTAGATTGTGTCATATCCTAAAGACGGTGGGGGGGGGGACAGTGAAGAAGAGCCTGCTTCCGCTAATGGGGACGTCTATGGCATATTTTATCATGCTTGGCGTTTAGGCTGCCGGATTGCTCTTAAGGGTGGTGACGATCCAGCAGACATATAAGATGGCAACCATACGACCTAATCTCGTAATCCCATTAAATTGCAAGAAGTCGTAACAGTTCAGAATTCATATTATTGCTCACATCGGCAGACTTCCGATTCTTCTTCTCTTCTCCATGTGCAATCCTAAAGCTGCATGGAAGTCAAGCTCACTTACTTGATTGAATGGCATGAGACCTCAGCACCTGTGTTATTAAGAGCGGTCTGCCGCGACGAACATGATCCTCTACAGGGTGTGTATTCGCCATGCGGCCGAATGGTTTTTTTAAGCGCCCCATAACAGCCTGAACCCGCAACCGCCCCTTCATCTACGTGAACAACTAGTCCATTGGTCAAGTGTCGGACTTGTGGTCCATCGGTCGTTCGCATTGGTCCAGGCGCTGGAAGTTTGTGAAGGTGGATACACGCTCAGTCAGGGCCTTGGAATTGCCTGTTTTCTCACGAACCTGATTAGAGGTTTGTTATGATTTGATGATATCAGCCGATTCCTTCTTGTTAATCATCACCATATTCACATTTACGCCAGTTTACTACCAGTCATAAGGATGCACGCGTATTAAGGAGGTCATCACCCATCTTCAAGCGTGCGTTAAAGAATCCTGGACTGGGCCGTATTATGTCCAGTAGGAGCTAAGGGGTCGTGAGTGACGGGGCCAATGATCATAGCAGCGTTCAGGAGTGGATGGGATCCGCGACTCGCGTCGAATGTCGCTGGAGTTCCAGTGCACGGAGCGTCACTGAACGAGTTAGACCAGTGCCATGTGCTTCAATTCCCTCTCTGTGCGATAGAGATATGTGGTAGGGAAAATCAAGAGGTTCTCGGATGGGCTTTTAAAATAATAGGAATATATTCACAAGACCAAATCAAATTTTCAGCTTAAACTTCATGCGTCTAACCATTCAATCCCAAACCTGCAGTGCATTTCTACATTTATAAGGAAACAGAAAGCTTGTTGGTTCAAAAGCTGTACTCATATTTCTACTAAGCAGAAAACTGTACACGACAAAAGTTGTGGTCGTTGAAATAATGACAACACAACGGGAGAGAATCTCTCGGAGGTTCTCACACAAAAATCCATAACGGGGCATCCGTGACATACTGAATGTATCGAATCAACTGAATAAGGTTGGTCAGAACAAACCTTCTAATTATCAGAGCTAAAAAAATTTCTGACTTGATGCATTTGGAAGAGATTACAGCTTCGAAAGCGTGAAAATTCGGCTTTTTATGAATTTTCCGCGTTAATGACCCCGAAATGGATGTTTTCCATCAGTTTCGAACGTACTGCCAAATTTTCTTCCAGACTGAAAATTACGTTCCATTTCAACGTGTTCCCTAGTGGATAGCTGCTCCACCGTCAACTGGTTGCAACACCAATCACATATCTTCGGCCGTCTGTACGCGCAGAGAAGTTGCTTATGGCAATATTCGTTGCTGGCGAGTAAGGGGGTGGGGGGGGGGTATGAAATAAGACTCTACACCGAGATTTTCATCGACTCCCAGCTCAACCCTGTTATCATCCGTGATAGTAGTCGCACGCGCAGGATGAGGTGAACCAGACGGTTTCCGAAAAAGTAAGTGGAAGCAAATGGTGAGATGTTCCATTTACCTTTTATCATTCCGATTTGGGTTTTGAGATTCTCCTCAGTTTGGGTGAAGTGGAGCGGAACGAGCAAGGGAGCTGAGGTAAAGAAAGGAGGTGACTGAGAAATGCACCAAGGAAAGCAGTAAACGAAGTTGTTGAATTCAAAATTAGCATCGTTGATGACGGTACTGATCTTACGTGCCCAACGGTACTTTCGAGGTATAGAATTTCACATCCCGCACAAATGATCTAACTGGAGCATTGATCGGAGACATGTGTGACTGCACAATGAGTTTGTGTTGGGATCGGCAACCATGGTTCCTTCCCATTGTATACAGAAATATACGACCCCTCCGCTCTCGTTTGTGATAAAGTTGGATGCATACGACAGCGCACGTAAAATGGCGAACACTTTCTAGGCTAATAAGACGATGTCACTCACATCGCACGCGTTGAAGAGCTCAGCAAATTGCGAGGCGATTTCTGGGTGGGCGGCTGAATTAACTGCAAAGGACCAGTGGGAGAACTTTGACCGTACTCAAAACAATATCCGTTCTGGACTATGGGAAATTGTGACTCATTGAGAGCGTAAGTGATCAACGAATAACTCCCCAGGACGAGAGGTCACTCAGAGCAAACCGCGCTCTTCAAAACGGTATTCAGGGTGATGTGTGTAGAACTATGGTCCATTTCCACTAAATTGCTCTGAATGCCAAAGAATGGGTGAGGAGAAGTTTTATCGGGAACTGCTGCTCTTACTCGTTTGACGTGGTATATTTCGTTTATCTCATCGATTGTGAGCACAATGGAAGGTTCTCTTAAACTGTCCATCGAAAACAGCATGAGGTGTGACCAAAAATGGAAATATGCTGTAATGTTGCCAAGCTATGTATCGAATAGCGTGGGAAGTTTCATGAGTATAGCAAATCCAGGAGAAGTTGAAAGCGTTCGATGGTGTAACGGTTGACACAGTGGACTGTGATATCCATGACTAGGTTAGTGGCTCGGATCGTGTGTTGCCAAAAGCTGCATTTCATGCTAGCGCCCCCAGACTGGCGCACAAATGCGCTAGTGTCAAAATGGACGTCTTCGTCTTCTCCGAAACCAAAACCATGTATGAGCCTCATAAGGTAGTGTAATCACAAACTGGCGAAGATGTTCGGCAGCAAAATGGCCCGGATAGCTCCAAAAAGTAATGCCATACTCGTGATCAGGGTCAAATGAGGCGTCGAAGAAAATTGGGAAATACGGTCACCCCTCGCCTACCTATCCAGTAACGGGATTCTTGCAAAAATAGCAACAAAAACTGCTGAAAAGCGCGAGTTTTAGTTTTTTTTTCTTTTTGTTTCCGGCTTTTTAAAAGCCATATCTTTCTACAATTGCCTCAAATCAGGAAAGTTAATAAAGTGCTGTAAACTAAAAGATTTCCTCTACTAGTGTTCACTGAAATCAATTGATACCTTCTGCATGTTTCTTTAGCCCCGTTGAGGATTTTTGACTGATGGTGAGCGCCGCATAGAGGTCCCCTTCGCTGCATTGACACTCCTTTAGTGACCATAGATTCTTTCATGGATAAGTTTCAACAGAAGTGAAGGGAACTTTGGAATTCCCAAGCTGTCTGGTTTCTAATATGTGTAGAAGTGTATTGCAAGGCTTGAGCTCACTCAAACGGTAATAAATTTATGGAGATAGCGCTGAAAATTGCATTTCTTTTCGGGTACTGAATTTCTGTCATTTCAAACAGTCGCTCCCGGAAACGTCTTGACTTTAAACTGAATTCTTCATGTCAGGGAATTTTGCGGAATTGAAGCACATGGCATCAGTCGAGTTCGCTCAGGGACACGCCATGCACTCGAGATTCGGCGCGAGTCGCGGTCAAGATTGTTACCACGCTCATCCCGGAGGACCCACACCCTCCCACTGGCTTGATACGACCCTCTCGTCAAGCATTCTTCCATGCACACTTGACCCTGCTCGTGAAGAGGGCTTTGATTTACTCCTAGAACCGAGTTCTTCCATTTTCGACCCAACTTCGAAAAACTGCACCAAACCTGAATAATCCTAATGATATACCCAGCGAGGGTATACTGTAAGGGTATAAGGTGAGCTGGAGGTGGGCTGGACGTGGAAAACGATCAGAAGCTCCAGCCATTGTGTGTGACCCTTTCGCCATTATTGGATTGGGTTTCTGCTGTTGTCTTCATGAAAGCCTTGATTACACAAATGGCATTCATTTTGAGCCCCAACTTCATTTGGTACCACTATGACGAGATTCAACGCCACTTTGGTGCCGTTTTGGCGTC